GTTCATGGACTGTAAAACATGGAAATACATGCCTGACCAAAAAAGCCACCAAAGGCCACACGCCGTTCTGTGACAACAGTCCTTAATGGCTACTGTTACAGAAAGCGAAAACAAGAAATTGAGCTGCAGAGTGGGTTATGTGAGTTGCCCTAGTTATGCGCCAGGGAGGCTAACTCTTGTCGAAGTCACTATCTTCAGTGAGACTGGTAGGTAAAAAGTGGCATGGATGTGCTAAAACGTGCTGCAGTTTTCCCTCTGGCTGAAGTTCAGACATATTCTTAACTCCTGCGAATGCTGTCCTGAGCTTTGTGCTCACCCTTCCAGCGGAGCTGACATGATGTGCAGACTAGGCACTGTGGTGGCAGCATGGTTAAAGTAAATTTCACCCGTGGAGAAATAAATACGTCCACAAAACCCAAGGGGGAAGGTCCCACGTTGCTAGTGATGTGTGGTGCCAATTCTTTATCTGAAATCTGATCAATAGTAACAGCCCTCAGTGTCTCGGCCATTTTATAAAGATGTCTTTAAGGATTCAGCTAGCTAGCCAGCTGGCATCTATCCTGCACTCAGGCAGATTGTCATTGCCACTTTCTGCTGAAGTGAGACACTGTGACACTAATTTAACTCCTTTTAATTACTAGCAAATAGAAGCTTAGCATTTCTGCTGCCGTTGAAAGTTACATGTGCTAGTTCCATACTGCATGTACACACATTTTAATGTTCATTTATGTTTATTTCTATGTATTGTAAAATTTTTAAAGTTGACTCTACCCAGTGTCATTTACTCAAAGAGATTGTGAAGAACTATAGACATATTATTTCATGGTCTAGAATCTCAAAGAGTGACTGCCGCTGTGTACTTCCTCTAGTTTTATTTAAACAAACAATAATATCTTGTAACTTTAACAAGAAACCAAGTAAATTCTGCAGGATCAAGGTGTAATACAGCAGAGGCTGAAATGACAAGCATCATTGAATTATTGCAGTTTTTAGAGCAATATTGTCCATGCCTTACTTCTCCTTCGCCTGCAAAACTCAAATCAACAACTTGAAAGTTCAGCTTCTTCAAGCAGGTGGCATGAGGTTGGGGGTGCACCTTGGAATTTCCCACCGCCTGGTGCCAGCAGCGGGAAGGGTACATGGATTGTGACCCGTGCGGCGTGGCAGATGGAGCTCTTCGCAGCTTCATGGAAATCCAGCCATCAGAGGGAGGCCAGTTTTCAGGAGTCCATCTTTTAAACCTGAGGCGAGAAAGAAAGTTTAACCTGATCTTCCATCTGCAGAGATTTATGATGTTACATTCGCTTTTAAATGGAATTTAACTGTGTATCCCCTGGCTGGCTTCTATAATGTCATTCTTCTTCTTGTCATGTAAATAATGTTGAAACTATTTCTGCCTCAATCTTTATGGCAGACTATTGATCTAGGTTTCTGATTTCTCTGCCCTGATGTATTTTAGAACATTTCACCCAATGTGCTGGAGGAATCTGCTGTTTCAGATGATATTTTGTCTCCAGATGAAGATGGTATATGTTCTGGGAGGTATTTCTCAGAAAGCGGCCTGGTAGGACTGCTGGAACAAGCAGCAGAGCTCTTCAGTACGGTGAGTGAGGGCCAAAGTCACCAGAAGATGGAGTTAGGCTATCTGAGCCAGATCCATAGCTTATTTTCCTGCACATGAGGAAACAGAGTCTTACCGATACAACAAGGCTCCACAGATCTGCCCTGCTGCAAACAACAAGAGGCAGAGGCAGATCCTATGGCTGATGCAGCCCTGCCTCAGCCGGGCTGGCTAAGCTAGGTTTTTCAGGTAGCCTAGCTCAGCCATGTAACCACCACGAATGTGCAGAGACTACAGGCAGCAACAGCAGAAAGTGATTGTCCCAGGCATGAACCAAGCTTTTTGGTTGGTATTTTCATAGAATAGTGCATTTAAGAAAAAGATCTTGCTTAAACTATGGATTTTAGAAAGCATATGAGAGTTGCTCCTGTGCGTTTACACAGCACACAACCATCAGCCTCATAGTCTACATTTATTGTGTAAAGAGTCATGATGTCAAGACTCAAGTAGTTCGTCATATTGCTGTTATGCTAAAGACGATATATGATTTAGCATCTCTGAAGGTATCATTCAGGTTCCTTTTGTCCAGGTGCAACTCTGGTTGCCCTGAACCATACATGCTAAACAAATCCATTTCCTTCTGCTCATCTGCATTTCTACTTCTTCTAGCCCCGAAGTAGAAACCAAGTGCTCTACACAGGCATTTGAGTTTGAGAGCATAACAGATCAGAGGTCCAATTTAGATCCAGTTTGTTGTTTGCAGCTCAGAACTACCCATTTGCTATTACTAGTTTTTAGAAAGCTAAAACAAGCAACATAGTCCCATAAATCCCATTTCCAGCCAGCCCATCAAGAGAGATCCAGCTTCTTCTCAGAGTGCATGAGGACTCATTTCTTTTCCTCTAATTTTTTTTGTTTTACCTCCCAAGGGGGGATTGTATGAAACTGTGAATGAAGTGTACAAAATTGTCATCCCCATACTGGAGGCACATCGAGACTTCAGGAAGCTTACCTTGACACACAGCAAGCTACAGAAGGCCTTTGACAGCATTATTAATAAGGTAATGGTGAGGCAAGACACTGCTAGCAAGACACGTTGCTGGGTTGCACTGTTTGTTTAAGAACTGGTGATAATAAAGCTGTTCATGTAAAATACATCCATTTCCTTTTTCTACCAAAAGCTTCCATCTGCTTTGGCCTACCTACAAAGGGTAGTCTATGCTGAAAAGAGGTTCTATTGTCTCTCTAGGAAAAACCAGAGATGAATATAAAACTGGTTTAGAGTTACAGAAAAATAGCTGAACAGGTTACACTTAGCTTAAGAACACGCATGATTCCACCTGGACACATCTATTTAAGAAAAATGGCTTTATTGTTAATTAACTAGTGTTTTCAGTTATAAAACAGAAGAAATGCAAAAGCCCAGTTAAATTCTCAGCAGTCATACTGCCCCTTTCTTTCTCTTTCTCCAGAAGAATCTTATTGCTAAGTCTAGTCAGTTTCAAATTCTTACCACTGTTTATTGCAAAATTTTAATTTTGTTAATATGTATCCAATGGAATTAAAAAATACTAAGTTATTTTGTTTTGCAAAAGTCACTTCATGATTAGCCTAGATTTTAAGTTAGATTTCAGTCAAATGTCCCCTTAAATTGTATGCTTTACTGCAGGAACATGTGCTCCTAATCCATCAGCACTAATGATACATATAACTGACTCTGAAATATGGGAAAATGCAGGATTAGCGGGGGTTTATTATACACCAATTGAGAAAAAAAAAAAAGGCATCCAAATACTAAAATGTTTGAAAAAAAAAAAAAAGTATTTGTAAATTTCCTCTTTCTTTTTATTAATCAGGGTCAAAAGCGAATGTTTGGAACTTACTTCCGCGTTGGTTTCTATGGATCCAAATTTGGGGACTTGGATGAACAGGAATTTGTTTATAAAGAACCTGCGATTACCAAACTTCCTGAGATTTCTCACAGATTAGAGGTAAAGAAAAAGATATTGTGTTAATATGATCTCCAATGTTATCTTATACTTTCTAATGATCCCACACAGTTCTAATAGTATTATTACTATACAAAAATCAGTAACAAACTGATTTGTACCATAGATTATTTCCTTTCTGTATATGCTTTCCATTAGATCCCTTTTTTGCAGCATAATGATGAAAGTGATCCATTCTCTTGAGGCCATGTCTCTTATAGGTATGTCTGTAATATACTGAATTATTTTTCTTAAGCATGCCAAATATTTGCTTTGGTATCTTTTCAGCTTTTTCATGGAACTGCGATGTTCCGTTCTGATTGCTTTACCTTGAGTTCTGCTTTTTTGTGAGCAAGTCACACTTTGATCTTTGTTAGAAGATGCCTTACCTTAGCCAGCTGTGGGTCATGAAGCAGTGTACTGACTGTACAGAGCCCAGAAATTTTCGTGGTTACTCCTTTCTCCTAAAGGCATACAGATGATTGTCATTGTATTGAGGACCAAAAACGTTCTAGGATAATTCTGTTTCCTTTCCAGGGATTTTATGGCCAGTGTTTTGGGGAGGATGCTGTGGAAGTGATTAAGGACTCTGCTCCTGTAGACAAAAGAAAGCTGGATCCAAATAAGGTAGGGAAAATACTGAGACTGTCAAGTGCTTTATCACAGAAGAGAAAGGAAGAGATGGAATCCCCTTGTAACTTTTATGCTCAAACATTAAGGCACCAAAAAAAACCCACTTGGCTGTATCTCTGTGTCCAGGGATGTCCTTAAAGCCTCTGAGAAAGGCTTAGTTTGGTAGCTTGTCAGACAGTGTGAAAATTAGAAGTTCTGATCTCTGGTCCCTGCTCTGACTCTCATGCCCAGGGTTAAGCTGTGTCCTCCCCAGAGACAAGTTTTGTCAGCTCTGAAGAAGAGAAGGAACCCTGAAGGATTTGCAGCTCTTTGCTCTTCCAGACCATGCTTAGCCAATGTGAACTATGGGATATTTCACATATGCCATTCCTTTTACACTTCTTGAGTTGTGAAGTACTGTGATGATTCTTCCCTCTTTTCTCAGGCATACATACAAATTACTTTTGTGGAGCCATATTTTGATGAGTATGAGAAGAAAGACAGAGTAACCTATTTCGAGAAGAACTTCAACCTCTGTCGGTTCATGTACACTACGCCTTTCACCATGGATGGGCGCCCCAGAGGAGAGCTTAGTGAACAGTACAAGAGGAACACCATCCTAACCACAATGCATGCTTTCCCCTACATCAAAACTAGAATCAATGTCATTCAAAAAGAAGAGGTAATTGGGTTTTGAGGACAGATCTAATTTCTCAGGGGCTGAAGGAGTCTCTGGATGGGAATATTTTCAAATTCTATGCTTGGCAGAAAAAAAAAAAGAAGGCTGAATCTCTCAGACATGTTACTCTCATAAACAGAAATGGCATAGAATGGGTAGACAAATGCGAGATGGGTATTTACTATGGAGAAAAGAGGACAGAGAGTGTACATTCTTCTTTCGACCTTCTAGTTGTAATGCTGAGTAGGAGGATGCGTGGAGCTCTGTTTATGGCTGTACTTCTAGCTGATAAAGGCCAGTCAAAGAAATAAATTGACCTCAGAGCTGGTTTAGAGACAGGGAAACTTTATGAAGGTAGAAAGTGCAAAACCATTTCAGACGCAAAGTCAATAACTTAGAATAATAATGAATTTATGAAAACAGTGGATCAGAGCCACATCCTATTCTTGCAAATGATGTCAAAGATCTTTGGATCAGGTGTAGTATCTACCAAGATGACATTTAGACTGAACAGTCCTCTTGGGTTTCACAACTACTGCTTTTGGCACAGGAGAATGATAGTGGTGTTGCCAGATTTAGAACGGGTCCACTGCGTGCATGATTCAGGTAATGAAGCATCTTTTCCTCCATTTTCCATTAGTTTGTTTTAACCCCAATTGAAGTTGCTATTGAAGACATGCGGAAAAAAACACAGGAACTAACTGCAGCCACCAACCAAGAACCACCAGATGCCAAAATGCTCCAAATGGTTTTGCAGGGCTCAGTTGGAGCCACTGTAAATCAGGTAAGGGATCCAAATAAGCCACAGGAAAAGTTTCTTCACACTTTTCTTGTTATGCTTTCTTCTCTGCTCTCATCTTTTGCACTGGGAGAAGCATACCTAGTCAGACACATTTGGTCACAATGTGCATTTGAACTTCATTCCTTGATATTTAGTCATTGTATGCTGTTCATTAGATATGCTTTTGGTGAAAGTCCTTGTGGAAGTACTGTCTTGGGTGTAGGTGCAGAATCTCACAGAAGCCTTGTGAACGTATCCAAGGATTTTCCATTTCTAGCACACTAGCCATCTCAGCCATTTTTTTCACTCCAGGTGTATCCTTGGGGAATGGGAGTAATAATAACAATTCTGCTGCTGGACCACTACAAACTCCCAGTTTCATAGAAAATACGTGAAGTCAAGACCTGAGTGCCCCCCAAAAAAGTTGAGATGTGATTGAGATGTGATAATTATAACATAAATTTGCCTGCTAACACAAAAAAAAGGTGATTAAAAATAAATTTAAAATGAAGGAATGAAGAAATAACTGAGACAAAACTTTGCATTACCCACAATTTCAGAGAGCTTGGTTTCTTTGCTGAAAGCTTAAATACTCTCAGTTTCTCCAGATTCTTCATCAATCAAAGCCTCTAGTCTGAAGTAACATGCTTGAGTTGTCCTTTTCTGCACTGGGTTTATTTAACTCCCTTGGGGTCTTGTAATGTCACTCTATTTCTCTCATGTAACCAGGTTTGGCAGCAGAGCTGTCCCAGCTCTTCTCTGCTGAGTTGAATTTGTCTGTTCCCGTTCTCCCTGGAGGAGAAATAACAGGAGAGGATAAAATACAGTGGGCAAAAGGTCTGCTTGCCAAAGAAAAAAATGGGAGGGGCAGCTGTGAGAAAGTAAAAATACATGCTGTTATGGTGACTATACATAATTTTCTTTTCTTTCATAATTCCGCCCGTGAAATAACAAACAGCTTAACCAAACGTGTGGTCTGTTTTCAGTCTAAGCGTTTTTGACGTTTTCCTGTGTTATTCCTATAAGGGACCGCTAGAGGTAGCGCAAGTGTTCCTGGCAGAAATTCCAGCCGACCCCAAACTTTATCGACATCACAACAAGCTGAGGTTGTGCTTCAAAGAGTTTATAATGAGGTCAGTAAAACAAAAATGAATGCTGAATTGCATCCGTAAAGCCAATAATAGCAATAATGCAACAATAATATAACTGTGTGATTAATTATGCAAGTTAGCATCATGAATCCTGGCATGCTCATGCTTTAGACGCTTGGTCCAGACTTGTTTCATGGTCAATGCTTTGGAAGGCTTTGCATCCCAAATAAGAGCAAATTTTAGCACCTCAAACTAATTATGTAGAAACTAAGATCTTCCGTTTGTTTTATCTTTTGACATTCTACAGAAATCAAGCATTTTAGACTAATGTATTGATTCTATTTTTAATAAAATGACATTTTTATGTAGGAAGCTGCTCTTAAGAAAACATTTGACCGTATGTGTCCAGCAAACACATTGGTAGTGGTAGACACATATGGTCTTTGCTTTAGATATACTTGTAAATCTTAACAAGCATACTCACATAGCAAGGTATTCGTCTCCTTAGTTCAAACAAAGCATAATTGCTGAAGGATAATTTTGAGTTAAATAAAAATTAGTCTTAAGCAGAAGATACAGCCTCTACTCTCTACTGTTGTCACTGCATCTGTTTACAGTAAGTAGGCAGGTAGCTCAGTATTCTGCAGTCATTAAATTTGTTTTTTACTAGCTCCCTGATGCATCTCTAATATCTTAAAAATATCACCTCAATTTGTGTACTTGGAAAAAACAGAGGGTTCTTATTAGTTCATTATCATTTTGGTCTTGATGAGTTATCAGAGGAATGCCTAGCCCAGAGGAGATGGATCCTTGGCCATTCAGACTACCTGACACAAAGTTAGTGAGTTTAACAGAAGTAGAAGTAGTTGATACGTGCCATGCCTTTTTTTCTTTTCTTTTGCCTAGGTGTGGTGAAGCAGTGGAGAAAAACAAGCGCCTTATTACTGCTGACCAGCGGGAATATCAGCTAGAGCTCAGAAAGAACTATGGAAAGCTGAAGGAGAACCTTAGGCCCATGATTGAGAGGAAGATCCCAGAGCTGTACAAACCTGTAGTGAAAGTCCATACCACAAGGTACAGTTAGGGCAGAGTTATCTGTTGTAGCCATACAAAAAGATGCCATTTTTGGAAGGAAGAAAGGCAGTTTTACCGGCAGCTAAAACCAGATCATAATGTACACTGCCAGCTTCATACTTGATAAAAGAAATCTGCTGACTTCCACTGGAGCTGGATGTAGTATTAACTGTGTTTCTCAAGCTGCTCATTCCTGGGGTAGGGTCCCCAGGGTCCTGTCATTTAAATGCATCATTAGAGAAGACTTCCCCCTCACCTTAATTAAAAGATATTTGAAACATCTTGCCATTTCTTCCACATTTGAAGCCAGAAAGGAGATAGAACGGGTATGTATGTATTGAACACATGGCACAATGTGGTATTAGCCAGCATGACGTAAGAGTCATCCTTTCACTCCCAGACAACATAAACCAGTTAGTCCTATGACTGAGATAGAACAGTCTTAACTTTTGTTCTTTACTTAAGAATATATGCTTCTTCACAAAGCCACTGTTTCCAGTGTGGGATGGGAGAAGAAGAAGGAATATACCTCTGACCTGCCAACACATAACATGTTTCAGCTGATGATTTGTTGGCTGCTCCTTTTCACAAGACAGGTATATCTTGGATTCTTTTTCATTTGCCAACTTTATTTATGGATCCATTTCATTGCAGGGAATCTTTTCGTAACCACAGTTTTAGGAAATATGATGCCCAGACTTCTTCACAAAGCACCTAAGGACTCATGCTGCAAGCTGGAAGTGATGACTATCCAACATCTATGAAATCAGAAATCTCTCACAAGACAGCATGTGCTCTGTCTGGATAGCATGCAGAAAAGCATTTACACAAGATCACTGAATGAAAACCGGGAGATGACTCCTAATCAACCATATCTGATGAGGGCTTGGGAACGAAAGGGGTGCTTTTTAGATACTTTTGCATATATTGTAAAATAATCACATATTGGGGGGGGGAGTGGACCATTAGAGTGGTCAGTGGCATGAAGTCAGTCACCGCTAGCTAACAGACACAGAACTCTGTGTGGTGTGGTTGAGGTGTTCCGTGAATCCAACTAACACGTTTAAGGGACGATGACGAATTATGTCTATTTATGGTCCTTTTCCAAGACAGCATTTATCCGTGTGCTTTTGGCAATGGAGCACATTCTGCAAGTTAATCGCATGCTTAAATGCAGTCTTAATGAGGAGGGACATGGTCCCCTGCTCAAGTGTTTGCTGGTCTGGAGCTGTAGGAAAGAATAATTTCCTCAATCAGTTTCTGTCACCAGTTTCTATCACGGTCTTTAACTGCAGGGAGAGTTCTGCACAAGTTTTCTCAGCCAAAGCTTGGAAAGCAAGAAGTAGCAATAAATAATTCTTATAGATCTTCTAATTTTTTTTTTTTAAGTATAGGGACTACTACTTGATATGCAGTTCGATTTCTTAATAATTAGTGTCATATTTAGCAGAGCTAACAAGTAATAGTTTAAAAAAAAAGATGCTAAGCTTTGAGTGATTCTTTTACTATACAGTGCTCTTATGTAGATAATCTTATACAAAATTAACTGTGGAAGCGCACAGTGAGGATTTCCTACCAAGCGCTTCACTCAGGCTTTGCTGCCGCTAAAGAGAAATTAGCACATAATTTATAATACCTGATGCTTAGTGTTTTCTGAACCCTGAGCAAACATTTTACCAAATAATCTTTACAACACTGCTCTGAAGTAAGGAAATATTATTAAGGAAATATTTGCAGATGAGGATGTTGAGAGAGAGAGAGACTAGGACTTTGGAACTCATTTAGTGATGCAATGGCAGAGCCACAATTTTTATTGTGACCGTGCTTACCATGTAATATTTGTATTTTGAAACAAAGATCCTTCTCTCCACCTTTTCAGTGTTTTGGAAATTATAGTTTAATGCTGATTAAAGTAACCAATCCCTTTTGCCTAAACACAGAATTTAATGTTAAAATTAAATGAAATGCTGAAATTAAGTTTTTCCTTCATACTCGTTTTAGAAAATTACAGTGAACTTTCTCAAAAGCTGATGCCATGTGTTTCTAATGCAAAGCCTCTTTGCTCTGAAAGGGAGATTGATGTGGAAATGTGGAAACGTTTTTACTTTTCATGGTCATCTGCAGCCTTGCCATTTGATAATATGAGTTTTCCCAGCACTTTGCTGACATCTGGGCGAGTCAGATTTTGAATGTGCTGTGTAGAAGATTCACAGGGATGATCAAAGGATATGTGGAAATAGGGGAAATAAGCCCTGTACTTAGACAGCACTTGGAGTGTAAGAAAGCATTTCCCTCCTCATTCACAGTATTGTTAAATGCAATAATCAGGAGTAAGTACTCTGTGATTTTGAAGTGAACCCATCCAAAGCACATAAGCAAATGGTATAAAAGACTCAAAGCAAAAGACGCCTCCATGGAGTGGCTTCTCTGTATTCAAGTTGAAAAGCTGATTGATTTCCAAAAGCTTTGAAGCTATGAGATCTCTGCCTATCAGAACCTAGCCCCTTATCTACTGTTTTTAACAGCCTGTTCAGGAGGAAGGTCAGAATACTGTCTATCAACCTCATAATCCAACCTTATTGTTTACAAGGTGCTTGTCCTTTACAGCCTAAATAACAAAAACATTAGGTAAACAAAACAAAAAAAACCCTACAGGTGTACAATGTCCTAGGTAAAAGAAATGAAGTGTTTTGTGTTGTGTGATCCTTGAACTGAAACAATACTCTGGATAATATGAATACTGAAGGACTCTTCACTCACATTTTACAAGCTGAGCACCCCTCAACCTGTTGGCCAGTCTTGCCCTCAGTTTGTAGCTTATGTTGTCCCTTCTACAAATTAGACATGGTTTGTACATTTCTATCAAGAGTTGAACTATGTGAAATGTAAATTTTCTACCTTATGATATTCATTTTACAATAAAGTGACTGTTTCGCAGGATGTTCAGAAGTGCCTTTGTGTTGCACCTTGTATCTCAGTAGAATCATAGAAACATTGAATGATTTGGGTTGTAAGGGATCTTACAGATCATCTAGTTCCAACCCCCCTGCCACAGGCAGGGACACCTCCCACTACACCAGGTTGCTCAAAGCCTCATCCAACCTGGCCTTGAACACTGCCAGAGATGAGGCATCCACAGCTTCTCTGGGCAACCTGTTCCAGTGCCTCACCACCCTCAGAGTGAAGAATTTCTTCCTTATACCTAATCAAAATCTACCTTCTTTCAGTTTAAAGCCATTGCCCCTTGTCCGATCACTACATGCCCTTGCTAAAAGTCCCTCTCCAGCTTTCCTATGGGTCCCCTTTAGGCACTGGAAGGCTGCTCTAAGGTGTCCCCAGAGCCTTCTCTTCTCCAGGCTGAACGGCCCTGACTGTCTCAGCCTGTCTTCACAGGAGAGGTGCTCCAGCCCTTGAATCATCTTTGTGTCTCTCCTCTGGACCTGCTCCAACAGGTCCGTGTCCTTCTGCTGGGGGTCCCAGAGCTGAAAGCAGTACTCCAGGTGAGATCTCACAAGAGCAGTCTAGAGCAGCAGGATCACCTCTGGAGCTCGACCTGCTGGCCACACTTCTTTGGATGCAGCCCAGGACACGTTGGCTCATGTTGAGCTTCTCATCAAGCAACACCCCGAAGTCCTTTTCCTCAGGGCTGCTCTCAATCCATTCTCTGCCCAGCCTATACTTGTGCTTGGGATTTCGCTGATCCACGTGCAGGACCTTGCACTTGGCCTTGTTGAACTTCATGAGATTCATAAAGGCCCACCTCTCAAGCCTGTCAAGATTGGCATCTGGATGGCATCCCTTCCCTCCAGCGTGTTGACAACACCATACAGCTTGGTGTCATCTGCAAACTTGCTGGAAAGAGAATCCATCTGGAAATAAAATTTCAATAGGAACAACCTTTCCTTGTAGAAGCATCATTCAGCAGAAAATATAAAGATTTGGACAGGGGAGGTGTTAGTCTGTCTTTAGGACAAATTGTGTCTGTTGCAGGGGTAACAGTCAACAACTTGCTTCCTAACTTCTTTTTTCAATCAGTGTTCGTGAAAAATGTCAGTGGGAAGCTCAGTGACAGTAGTGCCCTCATTTCTTCCTCTGGGGTGTAGGTGTAGAGCAGAAACACACCAGATTCTTGAATGACACGTCGTCTGGGTGATTCAAGACTAGGGAGATTTGCCTCTGTCCACAGTAGTTAGGTCCAGGGCTAAGCTACTGAGGCTGTCCCAGGGGAACCAGCAAACAAGGCACAGAACTACACCCATCCCGGTCTGGAGATTCCCATGGGTGTCTTGGCTGGGAGTTCACCATAGCTCGCTTACTCCTTGCATTCACCATCATTGAGCAACCGCTTTAAGGAGCACAGTGCTGGTTTGGGGGCTGGAATCCTTTAGCCGAGCGTGAGTGTCTCTCTGTTCCACGCCCCAGCTGTGTCCCATCCGGCTGCGCCATGCAGCAGCAGGCCGTGACTAGCGGCACCAAGGCTGTGCACAGCCTCGTGGCCCAGCAGAACCCATCTGATCCGAACCAGGTGCAAGCACACGCTCGCACATCTGCCGGCATGCAGACGACTCGCGTGTATAAGGGGTCCGTACCAGCTGCGAGAAGACCAACAACAACGCCCAGAAGCACAGACTAACCTATCAGCGTGTTTTGAACACATCTGAGCTGTCAAGGTGGGTGCTTTTGGTCAGCACTACTGATCCTAACGCTAGATTTCCCGGTTTGCAGAACAGCAGCTGTAAAGGGAGCACACCTTTCACACTGCGTGACAAACCCACACGTTCCAGCCGTCAGCAGGTGACAGACTGAACAGGCACAACCGTGAGCAGCTGTAGCCACACGTGTGCTGGGTAAAGAGAAATGCAGTGTTGTCACTTAAAACTAGCAGGTCTGGGTTATACGACCTCTCTCTGGAAGCTGAATGCTTCCTCTCTGGGTTTCCCACCGATGTGAAGACTTGTCAAAATGAAAGTGAACATTTTAATTCCTTTGTTTGTTTTTCCTTTTTGTCTGTTTGAAGTATCATCGTCTCCGATATTTCAGGAAGGGGAATCAAAGCTCAGCAGACAGCCTGACACCGAGCCAGCTAGGGCTCTTTAAGGTGTTATAATCTCTCAAAGCAATGTTTGTTATGAAAATGAAGCACACAGAAACACAGCGGTTTACCGTGTTTTACTGCACTACAGTGCTGCTGCCTTCCGGCAGACACGAACACGTACAAGGAGTGTCCAGAGAGTGTTGCCATTAGCGCTGAATTTGGGAGTGGGGTAGTTGGGAGAGTAGCTCAGCTGACTGACTGTGTTTTAACTATCTTTTAAACCAGTTAAATGGACTGATTGAAAAATAATCAGCAGGTCTTGATAAGTCACCTCAGGTTGAGTAATGCTCGGATCTAATCAGTGCACTGAAAGGAGAAGGGGCCCCAGTGGAAAAAGTCCTTTCTGATTACATGAATAAAGGCACTGCACGCTCATAGTGGAGCTCAATTAGTGTTCGGGAAGGTAGCAGTAAAATCTGGCATTGATTGAGCGCTTGACTTAGTGGATTGAATACATTTCTGTGACTCCTTATGTTCTCAGTGGGGGATTGGTTTAAACGAAGCATTTTTATTCAAAAACTGACTGTTTTCCAAGTGTTCAAGAATTAAAAAACTGACCTTGATTAATTTTTTGCAAACAACGTAATCACTCAATATTGCTCAGTAAGAAAAAAAAAAAACAA